CTACATTTGAAAAGCAAAAACATACTCAAGAAATAGCCATAGAAATATATTATCTGAACTTATTTAGGTAAATACTAAAATAAATGACTAAAAGTTGTTGCCCCTGAGGAACAGCCCTCAGGGCTGAGAAGGAATGAGCCAGGAAATCATTTTTTTGTGTGTGAAAAATCTTATATTATTGTTTGACTTTTCCAATTCCATTTCGGTAGCTAGGAGGCCATAGAAAACTATCTAATTTACATCGTACTTTGATAATAAGAACACTCTCTTCTCATCTCATGGTAGGGGTGGGACGTGGAAAAGCATTGCTTCTGATAACTTTAACCTGACTTGACAGTGATGTCCTTGCAGGTGAGCATATACATCCAGTTCCTTCTGCTAACCCCCACAATATTCTGAATGGCAGGATCCATCTGCAGAGAGCTGAGACACAACTGTAATCATGTCTTCTACACATACAGTGCTGTCCAGTTTACAAAGTCCTTGCACATACGTTATCTCGTTTGATCTTCCTAACAACCACGTGCAGTACTCAGGGTGAGGAATTTGTACAGAGAAGAAACTGGAACTCTTAGAGGCTGATTTGCTTATTCATTGTCACACAACCTGGACTCCAAACTCTCTACTACTTCATGGGCTGACTGAAGCCATCTATGTAAGACAAGGGGAAATACAGGACAATTTTAGAAGAAGTCGTTATCTCTGGTACATTGTCTATGTGAGGTCTTCTAATTTTGTGATATTGAGTCTTTCTATTCTTTATCTTCCCTGTCTGTCCACCACATCAATTCCTAACTTTTTCCTTCCTGTTCCTGGGTTACTCCCATTCTGACTTTTTGGATCTTATTACTGCTTCTTTTCTCACGCCTCCAGATTTAATTCTTTGCTTCAGGAATTGAAACATTTTAACACTGAGCCTAAACAGATAAATCGTGAGTATAGCGTTGACTTCATGGTTAGAGGTGGCCACCCTGGCCAGTCTGCAGCCTGGGAATTTGAACTAGACCTGAGAGCCCTCTTGATCGGAACCATGAGGCACCCAGGCCATCACATATGGTCTGCTTGGACCTCTATTCATCCAGTTCAGTCTTCCACAGACACAGGGGCTTTGCCCATGAAATACATCACCGAAGATAGATTTCACATTATATTTTAATCTTTTGATTTATTCCTCAAACACACACTAAGTTTGAGGCTAAAGAAATGGTGGGAAAAGATGAGATGGGAAAAGTGGGGAGGATGAAATGCACTATATTCAAAACATTAGGGTTTGTGTCCACCCTCAATGGCTGCTGAGGGCTAAGTGGATTAGAAAGGCTCATGTGTGAACCACCAACACTTTTTCCACCATCAGATTCCTTGGAGATCTCTTGATCCATTTTGTGATTGAGGTAGACAGGATCACAGCATCCAGTGTTATGGCTGCAGGCATAATTCCAACATCTGAGAACATTTTCCTCCCAGATATTTAATTTCCTCTTCCAGCCCTTTACCACTGGGGCCCTAAAACCACTTCACAACTCTATCCACCACATCATCTTAGCCTCTTTTGCAAGTCTTTTAATATCCATTGGAAAATAATGCTGTCTTTGATTCTGAGACAAATCCCTAACACTTCTTCCCTTGTTTCTAATTAGCAATATTTCTGTGGTAATTAAGACAAGAGTAACTCCTCAGTTCTGCAGCATTTTCAATTCAGAAAGAAAGAAAAATACGATAATAATATAAAGGGGCTCTAAGAATGAATTTGTTAGGGGACTTGAGTGTATGATAAATAACTTCAACCCATCTTAAAACACACAGACATTTGTGTAGATATACATACATATCATACATATGCATATACAGGAATGCACACACACATACACACACACAAACAAACAATAATTACCCAATTCTGGAAAAACAGGATTCAAAATGCAGTAATGGAAATACTGTCATTCTGTGGGCAGAATAAATGCATTATCTTAAACTCTAGGCATCCCACAAAATGAACAATTACAGTGAGCTGAATGCTGATGAAAGATGGCCAGAAACAGGCCATCTTTCTTCTCTCATGGGATGGCTAGAAATGGGCACATTTCCTTCCTGGTCAAACACCCAGTGACTTGGCATTTTCAATACTTTTCAAAGGCCCGCTGCATATGTTCACTCTGTGTTAGCTTTTGTTCTTGCTAAGTGTGGAGTGGAGTCAAAGCTATGCATTGCCAGACAAAATCTAATGCTGTAGGCTGAGCCAAGAGCCAAAGGTGCTATCATTTCTACTTTACAGATGGCACTCCTATCTCCAAACTTGGATTTGTGCATGAATGCACAAATAGATGCTTATACCTCTTCCTAAGGGATTAACAAAAAGATGTCCTACATGTCAAAAAAAAAAAAAAAAAGATATCCTTTCTGCATTTCTGACTTTTTCAAATCAAGGCATATTTTGAGACTGGTGCTCATCAGAGTTCAGTTAATGAGCTCTTGCTTGTAATTTTGTAAGTGTATATGTTTCTCAGGGAATTGACAGATAGCATAGGGTTTTATTTGTTTAGAAATTGCAATTATTTCTAGCAATTCGGTAATTATTTCTCCTGTAGCTAGTTACTTGGTGCCTTCTTAAGCAAAACTGTGTTTGCCAAGAGCCGGCTGGGGCAGTGCACTATTTGGTGGCTAAGGCTCTAGGCATGGCCCATGAGGATGCTGGCCCTGCTAAGGACAGGCTCCCAGCTCCATGATTTCTCCAGCCCCACCCCTGAGCTTGTCCATAGCTGAGGAGGCTGAGCTGCTGAGTACAATGCTTCTCTTTGTTTTAGTTATTTCTTCCATTGTGAAATCCAGGATTCTCTCACTCTTCTGTCTATTCAATCATACAATCATTGGGAGTTAGAGCTCATTGAGCCTTAGAGATCATCTTATTCACCCTCTCATTTTATGAATGGAGAATCTGTGGTGCACAGTGGATGGTTATGCCAAGGTCACCCAGCAGTCGGGAAGGGTTAGGCTAGAATACAGGTCTCTTTACTCTCTAGTCAGTGCTCCTTCATCCTCCATGTGATGATTTAATTCTTTTCAGTTAAGCAACTTGTGTAGAATTTCTAGTATGGATTAAGCATAGTGCTAGGTGCTGCAAGCTCAAGAAAGCCAAAAAAGAAGGAATGGTAAATGTCAAATGAGACAACATTAGAAGAGAACCTTACACAGTGCCTGATCCAGAGAAGGTATTCCATGGGTCCCTGCTTTTCTCCCCTTTACTCTTCCCCATCCTCTATAGATACATACAGAGGAGAAAAATCTCAGATATTTGAGGTAATCAAATTCTTGCAAGTATCAGAAGGGGAGCTGATAGACAACTCCAGTTACTCCTTTAGAAGCACATTTTCTAGTTCCTAATAAAAGCTCTCAGGCTAGGCCCACACCTGGAAGAACTTCCCTGGTATTCTATAAAGACATCAGCTCCTGGGCTGCCCCTCTATTCCAGAGTGTTGATGAATGCGTGGCTCACCCACACTGCCTGATTCATAAGCACATTAGTGCTGACTCACCGACAACTGAGAGCAAAAAAAACACATCTCCTCAGGTTTTGACTTGAGATGAAGACACTTACAAGATGCAAAATTCAGCTCTACTGATGGAATGATAACTGAAACACACCATGAGCTAGTCATCTGGGGAAAATATTGTCAAGGCCATTTGGTCTTAAACCCAGGCTCTTATACCCATTTTCTGAACTCATAATAAACCTTCATTTTCCAGAGATTTAAAAGTCTCCTTACTTTACTGTTAACCAAAAACCAGAAGCATAAAACCATGAAGAGTCAAAAGTAGCTGACCCAAGTTATCCCTGAGTTTAGCCTTGAATAGGAGGATTTGGCTAGAAGGCTCCTTCCAACCATGAGTTGCATGACTATAAGATTATCACCAACCATCTTACTGCCAGCTTTACATGAATGTGTTGTTCAATGATTCGAAGCTTCTCTAGACCTTATTCAAAGCAAGGTACACAGGCTCAGACAGCCTGCTCCACCCCTGGATACTTATATAGAATAATCATGTAGAAAGTATCGAATTGGGGGCAGCCAGGGCTGCATCTTGAGTTCCTGGGCCCCTCTGCAAATACATCTCCAAATAAGAAGACTGACAGCCTTGTTGGCATGTAATGAAATACAGAGCCATTCTGAAGATGGGCTCCTTGGCCACTGGGGAAGGCCATTCTTTCGTTTTGGCCTCAGCTCCTTGCCCTTTGATTCTTTTCCACCTTCTCATCAGAAGGGTAACAATCTAAACACCAAGTTCAACACATCCAGATCAGTTAGCAGGCAGTTTTAGCCACATATAGCACAACACAAGTTATGTTCATGAAGGATGAAGCATATTCAAGTGCATAAAGGACTGGTATACTGCCTGGTACAGAACCAAACCCGATTCTAGCATACATCCTTCATCTTTTTCTAAATCCAACTTGTACCGAAATACATTATGACAAAAACTGTCTCTCTAAGCTCTGTGAAAACAGGACCTTTTCTGGCAAGATTCCTGGTGCAGCCTGTTCTCTCTCAAAGCGGGACCCCATCATCCATAATGGCTGCTCGGTAAGCCTGGGTGTCCCTGTTACACTCACCTTCTCTGAACTCTGCTTTTTTGGTGGTTTGGCCTCTTAGCCTCCCTAACTCTCCTCCTCTTGCTCCTTCTCAGTCTCAGTTGTGCTCTTCTGTATTTGTGCACGTGTGTCTGGCTCCTCTGTTGCCCCCTTTCATGGACCCAGGGAGGCACTAGTACTCCTGTGTCCTCAGCACAGTCCCCTTCCTCGGGCAGACAAACTCAGAAATGGCCCGCATGATCCTTGCCTCCTGGTACTCATGCCCTTATGTAGTCTCCTCGCCACAAGTGTGTGTGGGACCACTGATGCACTTCTAACCAACAGCATATAGCAAAACGGTTGAGATGTCATTTCCATGATTATGTTGTGTACAATTGTGACATCTTGTTGGCAGACTGCCTCCCTTGAAGGTTTTGATGAAGCAAGAAGGCACATTGGAAAGGCCTATGTTTCCAGTATAAGACAGGGAGCTGAGGATGTCTCCCCCACTGCCCAATAACCACCAGGAATTGAGGGCAGCCTCTCACAGACAGTCAGCAGGAATCTGAGGCCTTCAGCCCCACAAGCCAGAAGGAACTGAATTCTGCTAACAACCACATGACATTGGAAGCAGACTTTTCTCCAACTGAAAAGAGACCACAGTCCTGGTCAGCATCTAGGTTGCAGCTTTCAGATGAGACCCTCAGCCAGAGGACCCAACAAAGCCATGCACAGACTCCTGACCCACAGAAGTGGTATGATAATGTGTGTTGTTTTAAGCCACTAAGTTTGTGGTAATATTATTCATAGCAGTAAATAACCAATATACGTCATACTTGAAGCACCCAACAATATGACTATTCAGTTTCAAAGACTATTTAGATTCAACAATGTGTGAGGAGGATAACAGGAAATATCTACCCTAACATCCTTTTTGGCAGAATTCCCTCTCCCCAGCACCTTGGACAGTTCACATCCAATCTCAACTTGACTTTGACAGCTTTGAGAAGCTCAGTGTCGTACAACATAGACATTCTACCTATGGACAACTCTTTTTTTTTTTTTTAAATAATTATCTTATATCTCTGCCACACTTATTCTATGCTATTCACTACTCTATAATGTATATGCATCATTGAAATTATTTCTCACAGTAATTCTATTAGTTCAGTACTATTAATATTTACATTATAAATATGAGGAAATTAAAGCTCAGAGAAGTTAGGCAACTTTTCCAAAATGAGTGTGTTAGACAGATTTTAACCCAACGCTGTCTAACTCAAAGTCATATTCTGAACAACTATGACATACTGCTCCAATCTTGTTAGAATGTTCCTCCTTATGTTAAACCAAACTCTTCCTTCTTCTGGTACCCCCTTATTGATCCCATAGGAGCTTTACAGGATAAAAATTGTATTTCTCTTCCACAGGAAAAATTTTAAGATGTTTAAAAATAGTTATTATGTTTCCTCTTTGCTTCTTTATTATAATTTTTTTAAAGCACCCTCCTTAAAAACTCAGTATAGAGAAGGATGAATAGGGAGAGCAGCGAGAAATTTTAGGGCAGTGAAACTACTTTGTGTGATACTGTAATGGTGGATACATGTCATTATACATTTGTCCAAACCCAAAATATATACACCAAGAGCAAATCCTAATGCAAACTGTAGAATAATGATGTGTCAATTTAGGTTCATCAATTATAAGAAATGTGCCACTCTGGTAGGAGATGTTGATAGCTGGGGAAGTTGTGCATGTGTTGGGGTAGGGACATATGAGAAGTGTCTGTACCTTTCATTCACTTCTGCTGTGAACCTAAAACCGCTCTGAAAACTAAGAATCGATTTTTTAAAAAATTTCACTACACAAACAGACAAATGAACAAAAACCCTTCTATGGGGAATGAAGAGAAACTAGCTAATGGATATATGGTTTCATTTGCAGTGATGGAAATGCTTTGAAATTAGATAGAGTTAGTGGTTGCACACACTGTGAATGTACTAAATGCTACTGAATTGTTCACTTTAAAATTGTCCATTTTATGCCATGTGAATTTCATTATATTTTTAAAATTCCTCCCCCAAAATGCATTATGGATATTTCAAACATAGAAAATGATAAACAGAGTGAATTAATATGGACCTATATATCCAACCACCAGCTTAAGAAAGAAAACATTGTAAATAGAATAAGAATTGTGTTTTTCCACCACATACTACCTTGCCCTCCCTTTCCACTGAGACATAACCACTACTCTGGATTTGGTAATTCTCACTCCCACGAATTTCTTTATTACTTTACTTCATACATTTGTATCACTGAACAATAAATATCATTATTGTACATGTTTTTAGATGTAAATAAATGCTATCATATTTTAGGTATTCTTATTCAACTTCCTTTTTCCATTCTAATTATGTCTGTGAGATTCATGAATATACCACATTTTCTTTATCCATTCTCCTGTTGATGGACATTCAGGTTATTTCTGTTTGTAACCATAACAATGAATGCTGCTAGGAGCATACTTATATGTGTCTTCTTATACACAAGTGCAATAAGTTTTTTAGGTTATATAGCTAGAAATACCTTTAGCTCTACCAGCCATTGCCTAGTTACTCTTATGGCAAGCTTCTGAGATGAATCACCATTGTATTTGTCCTCCCTGGAGAAGTTCTGTCTTGTCAGGAACACTGGTCCAGGAAAAAGAGACGATTGCCTCTTTGGTCTTAGATAGAATATGTCTAGCAGTGGTCTGAGATTGCAGAAAATGTTTTAGCAGTCTTACACCTTGTAATCTGCTATTGATATTTTTTTCAGACAGTAAATCTTAAGTATTTTTCACATGAATTTTTCTTAAACCAGGTATCCCCAGTCTGTACCTGCACAGGTTTTGTTTTAAACCTGAGTGCAGGACTTTAGTTCTATCCCCGTTGAATTTCACCTTGTTAGTTTTAGCCAGTCCTAAAGTCTGTAGAGGTATTTTGAGTCCTAACTCTGCTATCCCATCCATGAACTCAATAATCATACTTTCTTCATCTGATTTGATAAAATAAAGGATATAGCCAAAGATAAAGCCCTGTGATTTATGAAAAGATGTTCTCAGATGTTGATGTAATCAGTTGCCTGGGCATGGCTGGTCAATTAACCATGATGTAGCTCTCAATTTCTATTCAGTCCACAAGAATATCAAGGCAAACTTTGTTAGGGGCCTTGCCATATTGGCGGTATTTAGCTGATTTACATAACTAGCAATCTGGTGGAATATGGAAATGGGATTCCACTTAATATGCCTTGTTTTCAGTGAACGCATGCTAGTTTGAAGTGATTACTGCTTCTCATCCAAGAGGCCATAAACCATTTGAATAGTAATTCATCTTAGGATTTCTATGATGATCAGTATCAAATCCAGCAGGCTGTACAATCTGAAATCCGCTTTCGTTCTACAAAAAAAAAAATAAAAAATAAAAAAAAATCCAGTTTTTCTCATCTATGGTCTTTTGGTATCTTTCCCTTAATCATTTCTAAACTGTGGTTTTATGAGCATTTATACACGCTTTTTAAAATTCTGGCATAAAACTTGTCAGATTTGAAAACTTTTAAAGCCTCTGGGTGACCACTTAAGTTTGTTTATCCAGTTTAAGATTATTTTAACAAAATCGATTTTGTGCCTCTCTGTTGAAAGATCTTGCCTTTTGGTAAAGAAATAAAATACTTGAGTGATTCTCCTTTCTCTTCTCATCTTTAACCTTGCACCAAGTTCCCCAAGCAGTGAGTTTGTCCCTTCCTTGTTCTTCTAATTCAGAACATAGCTACTGAAAGCTGTTTTTGTTGTCTCTGGCATTTTTCTGAAGTCTCTGCTCATTCTGAGTGTTAGCCTGTCTGGCACTATTCTTACAGGCTTATAATACTCTTTTGTATTTGTCCTTGGTTATGTGTTTCTCTTTCTATCTTTTCTACCTGGTATTAATATATTGAATTCACTGAACAGCATTCTGGGTTGCCTCACTATTATTTCAGGTTGTCACCTCATTTCTCTCCTCTCTCTTCAGAAACAATGCTATTGCTTGTCTACTTCTGAAGGAGATAAGGGGACCCAACATTCAAACAATTGGAAAGCAGCATAATCATCATACACACATCGCTTTCCATGCCAGCTGCACCTCCTATGATTGGTTTCTTCCTCCTTTCTTCTCTTCCCTTCACCAACATAGAGGCAAAGAATAGCAGAGAACCAGAAGGAAACCATGAATTAATGGATGCAAGAGGCTTTTTAGCCTCCTTGAGCTCTTTGGCCCCATAATTGGTAGGGTTTTATGGTACTAGAGATGCTCACTGGATCCCATTGTCATCTGCTTAAGCCTGAATTGAGACCTGATTTTCAGAGGAGGAAAACACGGAAGCTAACAAACTCTGCTGTATTCAGAACTTAAAGAGTCAATCAAATCTAGATTGCAAAATGGTAGGAGTGCATCTAAGGAAAGAAACTGGTTGGAATGATTCATATCCATTTCTTCCCACATTAGAGACGGGACTTTTCTATAATGGCTCGGTACGTATAATGTTGCAGTACACAGTCCCTTATTCTGGACACCTGTGAGACCCATGAAACCTGGGCCCCTGAGTCTGTTTTCAGTGGCCATGATCCATTGGCAAGAATATTAAAATAGACCACTTCAGCTGGGGACCATTCCTCACATATCACAAGCTCTTTCCCCTTTCTGAAGCAAACTTCCAGCCCTGAAATATGAGAAAACTTACATGGCTTCCTGCCAACACCTGTGGAAGAAGAATAAGAGGGCTAATGACACAATATATTGTAAATCTCCTTGGCAAAAGAGGCTACATTATATTTTGATGTACATGATGGTGCTCAGATCTAGTAGGTGTTCACAATGTTAGCTCCTCCTTTTCTATAGGCTATATTGTTACATTTATTTTCTCACTCTCAAAGTAATTTTTCCAGTCCATTTTTTCTCCAGCACTGAAGAAGCCTGATGGCAATTTTATAAATTCAGTGGCTCCCAAGTTCTCTAACCAAGTCTTCCACCCTCACCATCATTCAATAAATGCTCAACTCAGACACATTTATATGCCCAAGTGCCTCACGTGGCCAATGATTCCTAAGTGCTAAACAGATTTGTTCTGGACTTGGAGTCTGAGCCTAAGGAGCGAGGCTGAGATAATTTAAGTGCCTCTTGTAACAGAAGGTAACTGGAATTCAATAGAGATAAATGTAAAATATTGAACTAGGGAGCTGAACCATAGACAGGGTAGAATTCTAAATGGAAAGGTTATGGCTGAATGACTAAGCAGGCGAGAACACACACTACACCCAAGGAATTCTTGCAGAAATACAAGTCTCGGGTGGACCCTGCAGAGAACAGGAGACAGGATGTGGTAGAACAGCATGGCCAAAGGAGAGCCACTGGGGCTCAGTAAAGGCCACTGCTTGGAAGTCTCCCTCCTGACGCAGACTGTCTGACAAGGGACAGAGGGATTTGGCTGGCTATGTAAAGCTGCCAGTTTTTAGCTGCTGTCATGAGCAGTCAATTTTGCTTTTTCTCTGCCAGGCTCCAAACACCAGAAGTAAAACATCTAATGATAACCTGAGGCATTGGCTGTGTCAACTAGGAAAATGAAAACGAAAACAAAAACAGCCACTCAGGTTGATTAATTTAATCAAATGATTGGCCAAGTTCCATGAAGAGATCAATAGAATCAGTGGTTTGACCAAATGAAGAGGCCAAATCAGGGAGTGTGATTGATCCCATCACCCTGTGCAGATTCAGCCAAACAAGGAGATGTATTTGCCCATGAAAGGGTCTCTTGCGTTCCCATAAATTTGTCTTGCAATGAGTCCATGACATTGGCAGGGGCCTGAAATACATCTGACATGGTTCTCACTTTTCCTTCTTTTGAAGTATGTTTTCATACAATTAACGTAAGGGCAGGAATTTGCCCTCTCTTAGATTGGCCACACCAGGAAAAGAAAAAGGGAATGGGGAAAGCCAGTAAAAAGACAAGTGGATGAACATAGGCTATGATTCAACAAGTTTTCAAAGCAGTCAACACATTTCTTGGGACACAAAAATTACTTGCACTATTTTCTGGACAAGATCCATCAACACTTAGCAAACTAGCAACCCCCCATGAAAGCACTTCATTCCTTAGCTAACGGTTTGCCTATTTCATGCTCCTCAATAGCCTATCAAAGGGTATTAAAAGACACACCAGTTACTAGCCTTGGGAACAACAGAGGTGACACAAGCCCAATTTCTCCCTTTGCTTAGCCTCCTCAATGTCCACTTTGAGAGCCCCCAGTCCGTAATGAAGAGGGCATCCATCAATTAAATTAGGGCAGCCTAACAAAGCTCTACAGAGTGTTGACATATATACTAAGCTCTTTTGGCCCAAGTTCCAAATTCACTCCTTGCTTTTGGCAGGAAGCAACATGGAGACTTCTGCTGGGAAAATGCCTCGCTATTGGAATGCATGAGAAAGAGGAGCTGTGAGTGCTAGTATTGTCCTCACACACACTCTCCTGCATTCTATTTTCCAATCAACTATGAACAATTGGGTCCTTTCTGACAGGTTGGCTGGGTGATAAATGTTCTGTCTTACATCCCTGTGTCTCAGCAAAGTGCTTTCTCTAAGGCTCATGCCACCCTTCTCCAACGTTCACAAAACCACCTGAAAAAGCCAGGCTTGTTTGCTTTCCTCCATCACTTTAGAAACTGGTGTGCGCCGATTCTTCATTCTTTAGACCAGAGTCACAGTCAGACTTTCTAGAGAAGCAGTTGTTGATTTAGACAACGATTAGCAAAAGCACAATTATTAGCTTTAAAAGTGCTCTCAAGGTGATCTGTAAACATCAGCAAGCCAAATTGCAGAAATCCCACTCTGCTCTCCAAGCCCCTGACTTCTTCAAAGCACTTGGCAGCTTATGGAAAATGAAATGCCCCTGTGTCTTCCCTGGCAGAGGCCCTGAGGCCTCCCTCCTGCTGCCTGTCCTGTCTCTCTGACCACCCCAAGCAGGATGGGCAGCTGTGAAGTGAGCACCTGGATTCGGACCCATTGCACCAGAGGTTCCCTCATTAGCATTCAGTTGTTATGCTTTCCTGGGGCCTTTTGTGGTTTACAGGATGGGAAAGAAATCTCTCCTCAAGAGCCTTAGAAAATCTCGGGAGTGGTGGTTCTTTATTAATCCACTTAATCAGTAAATTACATAATTAATATATCAAATGGTACTTAGAGGCTCAGAATATTTAAAAAGAATGTTGTATTGGTTGCACATTTTGATGCTGATTCTAGACATTCCTGGGGACAGCTCCAGAATTTCCATATAGGAGGGGCTTCAGGGTGCCATTTGGTTTGAAGGGGGGAGCTTCAAATGAAGGGAACTCATTTAAATTAAATGTTTATTTGGGGTGGTTTTTTGGGAGGGAAGTTCAGCTGGAGACTGGGGCCACTCCTGAACACACCTATACACTGATTTCTGAGCCCTTCTGCATTCTTGCTGTATTGAAGCGGGCAGGCCCTGGGAACCCAGATGGCTTTGATAAAGCGCTCACCTCTAATTTTCTCTCCTCTCTGCCAGCTTCTTGTTCTGCCCTTGGCTCTTTGCCTCCCCTGTGTCTGGCTTCCCTCTTCAGCTTTCTACCTGCACCCTTGCCCTTTCCTTCACCACTAACTTTGTTTCAAAATCTATCTCCTCTTTATCTCAGTCTAGTAATAAATGGCTAAAAGGCAGGAATGCCCAAGGGACTGCCATAAACCAGAATTATGACATAGCATCCAAGGCTAAAAGCTGAGATCACTATTCTAGTTTGAGAGCAAATGTTTTAAATGGTTCAGCCCATAAAGAATCCTGGATCTTGAGAAACTCACAAAAGTTAGGCTTTATTTTCTTTTTACAAATAAGAACAAACAGGATGACTCTGCCAAGCCAGACATTTTGTTTCCGAGCGTGCTGCCTTTCTAAGAGTGGGCGAGGACGTATTGCTTCTTTCTGGGGCTCTTGTCTTTGTAACCTTTTACCTCTCCATTCCACTCCCATCCCCACCAGAGGTGACATCACAGAGCAGAAATGGGTGAATCTACAAACAAGGTCAGACAAACCGGTGGAGGATGAAAACAATAGGTTGACCTTTACAAATATACAGTATTGGATTTGAAAGGGCTGGAGCCCAGAGATCAGGAGCCGAGGGTAAAGGCCCTGAATACCAATGCCACCCACTGGGAGCAATTCCATGTAAGGAAGTTATTTCTCACTGAGATCCCACACTAGAAAATGTCCTCCCAGGATCCCCTGAGTGAGGGACCAGGGAAATCGGAACGCTTGTACATTGTTGGCATAATACTTTGGAGTGTAAATCAGTGACATGTATCCAAACCCTTATAGACACACATTGACTTTTTCCTTCAGCATTACTTTCTAGGACTTTACCCTTAGAAAACAATTAAGAAAGTGCACAAGACTTACTTAAAAGGATGTCATCAAAGTACTGTCAGAAATACTGAAAAATGAAAAATGATCTATGTGTCCAGTAATGATTCTAGTTAAATAAATTACGGTGTATCATACAATGAAATGCCATGAAACTACTAAAAAATGAATTACATTTGTTGACATGTTCATAAGGTGTTTGGGTGGGAATGAAAGGCAGGAAGGATGTGAATTGAAATAAGACTCAGACCTGGCCCCCAAAAAGCAGGCACTCTAATAGGGGATGGACAACAGGTAGAATCTTGAAAAGGCTTTCAAAAGAAAAGACAAGACAATCAGATGCTGGTTGATTATTTTGTATTGTTTCCACAAAACTCCTTGTTGCTCTATACAAGGTTTAAATTACTCAGCCTCAAGCAGAGAAGGAAGAAAATAAAGAAGACTACATTAGCTTGGGAACATATCCCTGAATAAACGAGAGTTCATTATGGACTCTTAGTACATCAAAATCCAATTAATTCATTAGCTCTGCACTTGCATTTTTATTCTTTCCCCCCGGCTGCCAGCCTTTTACCCTATGATGCAGTTTACTAGCAACCCCAAAATGGGGTGAGTAGGGGAAATAAAAAGGAGATAAAATCCAAATGAATCGATTTGCTACTTGTTAAGTACGATGGACGCGAGCGGGTGGTGAAGGCAGGGAGGAGTGCCGACAACACAGTGTTTGCGAGGCTCTGGCAGAGGTCCTGCCTTGCAAGAGAACAGCGTGTGCATTGCACAAGGACCCTGAGTAGAAGGTGAGTGAGGGAGTCCATGTGTAGTCCTTGGAGCTGTAAGGCCCCCAAGCCACATGCTGCCTGCTGCAGATTTTCTGGGATTGCCAGTGACAAAGGGGGTTCAGCTGGAAGGGGATCTTCCTCTTCTGTCGGCTGACCCTTGAATTCTTTTTTTTCAGAAACATGACCCCTACAGACACCATGGAGTCTTTGAGTGACATGAGGTCTCCATGTCATGGATGGCCAGGCAGCTGCTGAATGAGGCATGCTCACGTTCTGATTCCCCAGATTAATCAACCTCACTCCCACCGTCTATTCCATCCCTCTGCAATCTCCTACTCACTTGAATATCATAAATCTACATTTTTTTTGTCCACAGGGAGAAAATAATTCTTATAACTTTAGTTCCTAGACTGTTACTTTTCAAAGTACTCTTTAGGGAACAGAAATAGAATGCATCAAATCATGTCTGCAGCTACTGTCCCTACTGAAATGTGGTACATCTTGTGTGCCATCAGCCTCCATGGCCTTATATTCTTTTCCACAAAACCATTACTCACGTTTTTCTTTTCTGTCCTGTTTCCCTCAGCCTGAGTTGCATTTTTAAAAATGGTATCTCAAGATCTTTAAGACACCTACAGTGGTTACCCTTTTATCAGTCTTCCTGTTCAAGTCTTGGAATGAAAAATTTAAGACTTCAGATCTCCTAAAAATCATGTGTGTATAATTACTTTTAATTTTGTTTGGAACAAAATTTCAGTATAAATTTCCTACGAGAAAAGAAGGGCCTGGGATATGTGCATTGGAAAAGGAAAGGTGGCCCAGGTCAAGGTATTTCCACTGGACCATCCACCAAGCAAGTCCCTGAGAGCTGACAGTGCTGATGAGCCAGGATGTGCACAATGAAAGTTCAACCTAGACAGAAACAGCCTTTCGGGGCTGCCTCCCAGGAGGCCATGGAGGGCTGTGATGATTGACTTGCAGCAGAACCTTGTGCCATCCCCCAAGCAGTCAGGTGATGTGCTATTCAGAAAACACCTCAGAGCCCAGCAATGAGGAAATGATGGTTGAAGCATCTGCGGGTCTAACATGGCCATGGGAAGAGCATCTCTGTTGTGATGTTCATGTCATACCAAGAACTCTTTCTATCTAAGGTGGAAAGTGCAGTCTGGTGGAAGAGAGTGGGGAGTGAGAAGCAGGAACCTGGTACCTTCACCCCCGTGTGCCCTGCGCAAGCCCCTCCCTGCTCTGGAACTCATTTGCGTCTGCTATGAAATTGCAAGAGAAGTAGGGGCTTTCTAAGCACCTGCCCCCTCCCACCCCTTGATCATTCTAGGAATCTCTGATACTTTCATGTGAATGAAGTAGGATTAATATTCTTAATGAGCTTCTGCCAGTCTCATAATTCTTATGGTTTAACCTAAAAAAATCAAGGAAAAAAAGACTGGAGAAATTAATGATTAAAATGCAGTCTGGGCATTTCTTTATTTCAATTTTCTTGTCACCCTTATATCCCTAAACCAAAGATAACAAGTTAGCAGGTATATTTCTTTACAATAACATAAGTCTGCCAAAACATTTTTAAGTTTCTTGTTTGACCTTGCTAAAGGCAACACAAACTCCTACAGCTGACAGGTCCTCTCAAGTCCAAGCCTCTGTGGTCCCAGAGCAAAGTCCCACTCAGGTCCAACTGTGGACAGGCAGGTGCCCATTCAAGGACTGCTTTTTAGGTTTCTTTTCACATACTATCACCCTCATATAGTAAATATTTATTTTGCTGTCTGAAGTATGATGATGAATCACTACTCTTCTCTCTTTAAACCTATAGCCTAATCACTCTTTTTTTTTTTTTCTTTTTCCGTGTTGATAGCTAGTTTCTACCTGTTTCATGTAATTGTTTAAAGAGCTTGGGGTCCACGAAACAGGTTTTGTGGGCATTGCTCAGCAATCAATTTGTCCTCTTAATAGCTCCATCCCTTCCCATAGAGAAGATCCTTCACTTTACAAGAGGTGCTCAGGTTTGAAATGATCCATCTGCCTCCATCCATCAGTCCTTTGCACCTCTTGTCTGCCTCTTTGCACTATGTGCTCTCCCTTTGCATGGGTTCTTCTGCTTATTTCACTCTCTGAGGATCTGGAGCCTGTTATCTGGTGTATCCAGTCCTCTGCCTCCCATCCAATCCTGGATCAATTGCTAGAGCCCTGCAAGTCACTTCATCTCTGTTCACAGTTTCTGCTGCAAGGCACAATGCAGAGAAGAGCAATGCGCTGAGGCTAGAGTTCACAGGAACCCTCTTCTTAGGGACCTGAGACTCTTGAAGGGAGCCATAATGGCTTCCAGATAGATGAAATGGAATGCAATGAAGGCAAGGCAATTTCACTCTCCTCAGTGCAGACTGCATTGAAACGGAAGAGCCTGCCTTCATTTTGATGCCAAGAGTAAGGAAAAGTTCCTCTGAAGGGTTTCTCTCTCTTGCCCTGCTCACTTTTCTATTTAAGTAAGAGGCTTTTTTTTTTTTTCTAGTCTCAGTATTTTTATTCTACTTTCTATGCAGGGACTGCCAAGGAAGGGCCCTTGGTTGGCCAGGAAGGAGAGGAAACACAGCGCTGAAAGTGAGGATGAGAGAAGGCACAGCAAGCCAATAAGTTAACCCTCTAGGAGATGGCAAAACACTACCCAAAGGGCTAGGAAGAAATTTGCAGCTCAGTTGCACCTGCTGTGGACATCCCATTTTTCTCTTATTTAATTAGAGGCACATGTGTTGAACACAAGAGATAAAGGCATCTGCAGACAGGTCTTCAAGAGCGCTTCAAGAGTGCTCTCCACTAGCCCTCCTTCTTCCCCACCCCTTTAGTCCGACCAGCAGAGGGCTGTCCCATGCATGAGCATCCTCCCAGCATCCCAAATAGTGTCCACAAAAGATCCAAAGATTTAATCCCCAGATATTTACTAGGGTCAACTATTGTTCCCAGTTGATGCTGGGCAAGCTGTATAAAACTGGATCTCTGCTTTCAAGCAGCTGACGATATAATTGTTGCAACAAGACAGAGACAAATGAAACAAAGAAAACCGGTATAAAACCATATATCACTCTGTGATGAAATGTGTGGTTTTTGCAGTTTTGTTTTGACCGGTACTCATAGAACTGTCAGCGATCGATAAAATGCTTGCCGGTGATATCAATATGTCATCAAAATTAATAGCACACCATGGCTGAGCTCCATTTATTCACTCATTCAACAAGTACTTATTAAGCACTTACTCTAATGATATTTTTGCATTTGCAAAGAGCTTTACAGTTTGCTAAACACTTTCACAGTGGCTTATTTGATTCTTATTAGGCAGGCATATTTACAGGAGATGGACAATGAGACTCAGAAAGGTTAGGTAGTTTCCAGATTCCCAAGTTAATAAGCCTGAGATCCAAGACTGTAGCTCTCTCTGGTCAATGGTGTACCCTCTTCCAGTCTGCCCCTGAGGCTCAGCCAGAAACAATGGCTGTACATTTGAGTCAATATGGTTAGCTGGCGGCCGTGACCTTATGCATCCTACCCACCCCTCCTTCACATACAATTATGGATAAAAAGGCTTTCCTTCCAGTTCTATAAAGAGGAGTCCTAGCAATATCATCTATAGGTTTTGTATAGATCTGCACAAACACACACTTTCCTGGCCCTTATACTCTGCTTCTTTCATCCCAGCTCCTTTTGTGTGGAGAAGACCAAACTGCTGATTTGTGGTCTTTGTGAATGTCTCCAGAGGCCCAGGATGAACTTTACAAACCCACCTCAATTTCAGGCTGAGGGGCAGGGTCATTTGCACAACTCTCTCCATCTTTCTTACCCCTCAAACTCTGATTAAAATGGTAATTGAGGGCAGTTGGGGTGGGGAGGAGAAAAAGGAAAGGAGCTGAGCTTTGTATGAGGCTAAAAAAGCCAGCTGCTTTCATTACCACCTGGAGAGGGTGTGTGGGGGGTGTTCATGTGTAGGATGGACATGAGTGATATGACATGAATGGATTTGGTTGCTTTAGTCTATGCCATAGCTGACTATATCCCCAAGGACTAGGGTACCAAGACTGATAGGTAAAGATTCCCCACGAATCAGAGTGGGTGCCTTTTCAATTACCAAGGTTGAATTTATCTTTTTCTCTCTTCCCTCCTTCTTTCTTTTTTTCCTTTCATTTTTCCCCTTTCTTCTTTTGTCCTTTCTTCCTTCTCTCTCTTTTTCTTTATAATATTCCCCCTTTCACAAATCTATTCCTTACAGCACAAATGACTCCTTTGTAAAAGAAGTCATCGCAATTAAACTATATTCCAGACTCCCTTGCAAAAAACAAAACTCACTACCAATATCTCCAAATACTTCAATAATGTTTTTTCTCCCACACCTTTCCTAAATAGAAACATCTCTTTCTTCACATGATACAAGAATCTCCAGGTTTTTTTGTTGGAGGCTACTCTTTCTCCTTCTCTCACCCAGCAGGACCCAGAGATGGTGTTGACATTCCTTGAGGTCTATGTAGATTGATGTCATTTACTGTTTTCCATACCCACCTCCATTTAGAATTGTGGCAGTCTCTGCTCTTCACCCAGCCCCACTCATCATCAGAGTTGGCTCTAACCCATCTAGCACCTCAACCTTAAAGTTTCTTTACCTTCTGAACTAAAAACCTCTGTCCACAACCCATCCTGGAGACCCACGACTTTGGCTCAGTTGAGAAGCTGTCATAACATGGGACTGCTCCACCTTTAGAACATTCACCTTGTCATATCCCTCCCTGACCACCTCTCCTTCTCCTTCTCTCTCTTTTATGCCTTTTTGAAACCCCGTCTTCTTTTGAATCTCAGTAAGAATGAAATGCTGTAGTTAATGTTTACCGGAAGCTTTCTATGCGCCAAACCCTGTGTGTCTATTATGTAATTTATCCTCACAACAACTCCATAGATGTAGGTGTTATTACTATCTCCATGTTACAGGTGAGGACGCCTCAGCTTAGAGCAATTTCCTCAGTCACACAATTAACAAACGTGTTGAAAAGGTGGCAAGTGCCCCAGAGCTTATACTGCTAGTCTGTATGCTAAAACTCTTCCATTTTGCCCTGTCCGTTAACTCATGCATGACTCCACTCCCTCTCCTATCTGCCCTGAAAATCTGGATGCATGACTTCTCCCTCCACTGAGCCACACCTTTGCATTTTTCACTCCTTGTCCTTCTGCTGCTGTCACCCCGCTAACCTCCAGGCTTGAATCCATCCAACTACCAGCATGTTTTACACTAGCCCTGGGCCAAAGAGCCCCCAGATTCATACTTTGGTTGAAATCTAACGTCAATGCCACTTCACTTGTGTCTTCAGAGGCCAAGCTCCAAAAAGAGCATCGGGCAGAGTAGGGACCATCAAAGGCAATCCTGGCACAACCACCAGAGTCCAAGTGAAACTTTACATAGGGATGTGCATGCCTTCCATGGAACCAGGCCTATTTTCCCTCAAGGAAGAAGCCATCAATAAAACAAATAAGAAAACAACACCCTAAGGTGAAATGTAAATTCGGTTGAAACTTCATGATGCCTGCAGTCTCATGAGAAGCACCCTCACCCTCAGCAGTCTGCGCTGTGTGAGCACCTTCTACACCTGGACTGGACAGGAGCAAAGACCATAGTCTGCTGCTGCTGATGGCACTGACATGCGCTGATGTTAATGGGCTCACACCAAGGCCAGCAGAATGACTTCAGCCTGAACCTACTGCCTCAGTTGGCTTAAAGAGCAGCCACTCCCATTTCATTCATTCACTCATTCATTCATTCAACAATTTCTTGAATGTCTTGAGTTAAGCAGCGAGGATACCATAAAGAATATGACATTTACATCTGGAAATATTTCAGTTCTTTAGTAATCAAAACTTCATTCCTATATTTACTGTCAGAAAATCACTTATGAAACCAGTAGAGGCTGAGGTATTTTAATAGAGAATGGGCCCAAAGATAAAAAATGGACAGATAATATCCCTCTTGATATTCCTCTTGATATTTTCTGAAGAGTGTACAGGAGAGGGACAAGCACCTTTGATGAGGGTCACATCAGTCAATCAGTCAATCATAATGGTCATTATCAACCATCTGTGCTGCTTGTGTTTACTTCAAGTACAGAAGTGCAGGCTTATTATAAGAAACTTAGAAAACATAAAAAAATGAAAGATACATATACCATGTATACATAATTACATGTAACAGAATAACATATAAATTACATACAGAGAGAATATGTATATATTCCAACATCTGAATTTAACTATTTTATCATTTTAGTGTATTCCATTCCAGTATGTTTGTCTCATTCACATCTTTCTCTAAAATAAAATAAAATAAATTCATCAATATGTTTCTAGATGCCATTTGATTAGAGCTCATATCCTTTCACCCTACCTAGCCTCCCTAACTATGACTTCGAATTTCCCAAGTGACTTTTTTTTTGTCCAGGGAGACATGCCTCAAGAGAAGGACGCTTAATTTTAATAGCTTAAGTTAAGAAGGTTGACTGTAAAATATATTGCGATTTATCCTGAAGCCAGACTCATTATATATCAGTTTGTTTGCATTTGTTGGCAGTTTTTAGTGGTCCAAAATGATCTTCTGATTAGCATGCCTAAGCAAGGGTTGACCATAGAGGTATTTCATACTCCCTGTAATTATTTACAAGTATGTGTGTATACCCTCTGGCCACACTCCACCAGCTACTCTCTGACTTTGATTCAGGGAGAAATAAGTTTGTGTCACCTGCGAC